TGCTCTGCCTGTTTAACTCTACCACTGGAAAACCTGCTGCCCAGCTATCTTGGGTCTCGACCAATGGATTGTTACCTAGCAACAGGATCAAAATGGCGTCAGGTGGATGTCACTGCTGATGTACACCTAGAGAATGCGGGGAAATATAAATGTTTTGGCGTTCAATATTCTGGGAAAGGACGAAAACGCTCTGAGTCTTGTTGTGCAAAGTAAGTTGACACGAAAATTAATTTTTTTTTTCGGGGGTTATTACCAAACCTTGCCTTTTTTCATGTTGGTCGTATAACTAACTCTGTAAGCAGCTACTCCTGTCTAATTAAGAATTGACTTTTTCTACTATAACTAATATATCTAGTCGGTAATTAATGCTGCCTTTTTCGTTGGTGACGTGTGTACGATTCACAAATTAGCCAACAGAATGATAAAACAATAATAACAAAACAAGAAAATTACTTTGCTTTGGGTGAACAGCTCATGAAAGGCTATTTTTGGACTGGATTAGGAAAAAAGGAGAAATCTTTCTTCCTTTTGCCAACACTACATTTTTAACCTCCCGTAAGCAGACACCTCTCCTAAGCGGACAAGGACACCTCTTTGGTTTCCACATGGTCTAAAACAACCTCCTGTAAGCGGACAGTGAACAATATCAAGAAAATTTCAAACGAGATAGTTTCGGTTTTAATGGTTTAATCTCATACTGACCCACATCAAAGCAATGTCTGAGTCTGAACAGTACAGCGCACATGAACAGTACAGCGCATATGAAGGGAACCTCGCGCGCGTGACTCAAACGTGAGCCCGCTCGCAGGCTAGTTGACATCAAACTTTTGAATTTAACTCATGTAACTAGTTGCGAAAAGTTACATTTTGATACGTCTTACATGGATCAAAAGAAAAAACGTAAAAAACTCTCGTTAGTGCGCAATACGGACTGGAAAGCATCTTTAAACATGCGTTATATATTTTCTGTATAGTTATATATCATTGATCCACGGCCGTTGGGAAAAATTTGTCGCGTTAATTTTTTTTTAGCAAGTGAAACCAATTTTACCTTGCCTATATCTAAGGATTTTTAAGTTGAAACAAATAGGAACCAATCGTCCTTTGCCGAGCTCTTATAAAATATGATTATACTTTGATCAAATTGTTCTAACAAATTGTTCTACCTTGTCAAAATAATATGTCTTCAGTTTCTAGTAATGAGATTTTATCAGCTGCGTTCAAAACCATTCCTAACAAAAGATTGCAGTGCGCAAGCATCCATTTATGAATAAGGTGTATAAATATGGTGATCTTCCATAAGAATAGCTGATTAATAACAGCTGGTTTCATTCAGGTCGGCAGTGTGTACTTGCGGTTCAGTTCAAAAGCCTAGAGTTTGAATTATGAATTCTCTAACAAAAGAAAAATGAATCTCATTGTAACATTCAAAACTGAACTAATCTTTTCTGGCCAGGGTTTCCCGAAAGCCCCAGAAGCCATTTTTAGATAATCTGTACCTAAAAACCGAAACGTGTATACGCCTGAATTCCTTGTTTGAGGAGAAGCTCTGTTCATATTAAGAATATGTGGATAAAACAACTCTGTAATCATAAGGTTTGAGATTTTGCTACAGCTTTCCGAGTGCGAAAACTTTTCAAGATCTTCGAGAAACGGGCACCAGGGCTTTTAATTAGTGGAGCAAACCTTTTTTATATTCCACTAGCGTTATTGACTAACTTTGTTAGCACAACGTCTAATTAAGCATATTTTATAGCCCGCTTGGGGGTTACTTAACTGAATACTCGAAATGGCGGGTGGTGGTCGCCGATGTTATTTGGGAGTTGTTTTCCTCAGTCGTTATTGATCGCTAGAAATCAAGACTGAAACTAAAATGAAGGCAGTAAGTAGTTTTCAACTGTCTTTTTCTTTCTCACTCCTCCGTTGATTTCTTGTTATCTCAAGATGTTTACTGCGGCACTCGCTTAATTAAGGCAAGCTGACGTTCTTTTCGCTTTTCTTAAAGTCAGTAAATGAAGACTGACTAACACATCCAGGAAGACGGTTGGGTCGCTTAAAATCTACGCCGACAAACACAACGATGTGGACGATTATGATGATATTCATGTTTTGGTTTCTTCCTTGTCTGGCGGTGAGTGAAGGTAGGAAGACATTCTAGGATACAATGAGGGTTCAATACGGGAGAGGAAGACTCACTTTTTTCAGGA